GAAGAAGAAGAAGAAGAAGAAGAAGTGCAGTTTGGGATAGGGTCACCACTGAGTTTTGATTGGGATTGTTAACTCATATAATGTGTTACCATATTCTATGAGTTTATGGATTGAATATGTTTTTGCAGTTTTTGCATGCCAATGTCAATATCACACGTGCTGTTTCATGTCCTGAACTGCCAGTTCCTTTATCCTTGTGGCCTGCCTATATGGAATCAAACACCATCGGGGGTGAAAAAGGGTCGGTATAGTCCGGGTTGACCATATCAGTAGAAAAGGGAGTGGTGGCAGACTTCAGAGACATTGGATTGCTTGACCACTAGTTGGCTTTTAAGCCATATGACCCGCAGAAACCCACAGAGAAGGTCAAAACAGCAGTTTCAATGATGTGCTTTACGATGTTTTTCAATCTTCGTCGCTGGTACTTCAAGTGCACATGGCAGCCAAAAAGAAGATATTTGCGCCGTTGTGACGACAGCACTTGTGGTGAGCACACATGGGACATCGACGGCTTCGCAGGCACCTTCTCCGCAGTCACAGCCACGGCACTCAGTGCCGACAAACAGTGACGATGACAAGTGAGATGGGCACAGTGCCATGTTAGTGCCCCGACAAAGTTGCCCGTTGCTGTTGATGAATCACCCCCATATATGCAGATGTAAAGCCATTCGGTACGGGGTTTGACTAATCAACGGTCGGTCAACATGATGTTTTTGCTGTACTTGCCCAATTCTCATGTTCTGACACGGGAACGCTTGTGACCATGATATCAGCACCATCCAAGGGTCACCCATGGACGATCATCCGCAACCTACGCATGCCCACGCTTTTCTGACCCTTGGATCATCCTGGTGGTCATTGTTTCTTTGAGGCAGGATCATTTCTCCATCAGTTCTTGACAGAAGAGTGCCACCTCGCTACCAAGTTCCGCCGAAAAGAAGATCTGCGAGCATCGGTTCCAAATTCTGGAGGAAGCACCTGCGACTCTAGATGTGTAGTGTAGATAGCTCGAATATGCCATGGATGGCCTAGATTAATAGAGGGGACCCCCCCCAGTGAGCAATCACTAGGTTTATGGTACCAAGTCGACCCCTCTATTTTCCTCAAAAGGACACCACTGGAACACTCTGTCCAAAGTTGTTGGGACTTCGGTGTATCGTGCTCACGATGACCCAAGGCAGGCGGAGGACGGTCGCTGGGCCTTTGGTGTTAGAGGAGCGGATGTTCAGGGCAGGGAGACAGCCCCCATCCGCAACGAGAAGGTTAGGATGGGGCCCAGTTAGAACCTCAGGAGGTTTGTTGATCCACTGGCGTCCTTGTCCCTAGTAGTAAGGCCAGGAGCCCCGTTCGTAGCGTCCAAAGAAGTCCAAAGAGATTGAAGCTGAGAAGTTGTGCACACTCCACTCCGTTGGCTTGCCGGTAGTAAGCTGGTGTGTCCGGCCTGCGGAGACAGAGTGATGGGATGTGAAGTGACTGTGGTTTGACCTCGGTTGACCTACCTACCTAGAAGGTTAAGCTAGATGGTAGACCAGGTCCCCAGGTTTTGACCCATGCCCAAGTGGCAAGCTCTAGGGAAGAATGGGGAAGGTGTTTACAGGGGATGGTGGGGCTCAGTACGCTTGTTTGACGGTGGCACAGTCAGTAATAGTCAGTACGTAGACGACCGGTATGGAATCTGAATCAGCCGGCAGGTCGCTTGTTTTCACATACCTGGCATCAGTCACATGCTCGTGGGTATAGAAAGGAAAGTATGAAATACCTAGAGCCTAATTAAGCAATACTTTCTGCCCAACTTCATTCATTAGGCAGAACAGTTTTGCCCGTTTTCGCAAAGAACGCCTCAGCTGCGGCCTTGAGGGTCAAAAGCACCGAGGCACAATCACATGACATGCATTCTTACATGAAGGAGGCAGAACAAGAATTTGAATGGCAAAGTTTTTGAGCAAACAAATGCTTGCGTCCTGACGCTAGTCCCCAGTCTAAGTATTTGAAACTCATGTCACTCACTCCCCCCAAAAGGCTACCATTCGTTTGTCCGCCCAACTACTGATTGTATTGGCCAGGGAACGGGTAAGGACACCCAAGCAACGGGCAAGAATGTTTAAGTGACGGAGGAACATCTACGCAACAGATATTATATACTAAATTCATATAATTCATGCAAAGGTGAAACATCAAGTGAATTCCTGATAAACAACTGTACTGATGGCCACCAAAACGACAAGAACACCTAGAGAGGACAAGAACGCCTGCAGGGGCCATAACACCTACGCACGGACAAAGGCGCCTTTACCCATAATAGGCAGAACTTTCTCTGCGCAAGAAGAGGTTCTAGATATTTTAGATGCCCTCTCAGAGGCCAACATACAGTATAACCAAACGAACAAAGGGCTTTTCTGCACGTTCGTGAGTTTCTGGGAGGGCACGACAAGGTGGAGCACTACACCGAACTGCACGAATTATATTCCATTTGTTTGGTCATGTTTCTTTCGGAAGGAAGCTCCCCCAATACTCCCAAAAGCCGGGCTTCTTTCACTGGGCTAGCCCTCTCGGTGCCCGCTCCAGGAAGGTCAGCAACGCCTGGATGACCGGGCCACATTGACCTGTTGAGCGAATCCACGCGGGGTACGCGGTACGCAGAGACTTGAAGATCTTGAGGAAAGGTACTTTGAGGCTGAGGACGTATCGGAACATTAACCAGTCTGAAAGCTTGATGAGTTTATAAAGTTGTTTTTACTATTATATATCATACTATATCCCTTAGACCGAAGACTACTTATTTTAGACCGACTGAAGTTAAGGAAGTTCCCTGCTTCAGGCCCTCTAAAGACATTTCAGCTTTTCCACATTCTTTCGAATCCACAGTGACTAGAGATGGCTGTGAACATCTGTGAACTGTGAACTGAATTAGATAACTAGATATGAGTTACCATCCGAGCCGGACTGTTGCCACAATGATCCAGCTGTATGAACATTGAGAGTCATGATGCCTTCGTGAACGATATTTCCAAGCCCGCGAACACCGAACACCGAGGGGAAAGCGTGAACATTGGGGAGCAAGTGAATATAGTCTATAGCCTGTCTAGTAAGAACACACTGGTTTGAGCCCAGGTTTTCATTCAACCACGAGGTGGCGACAACTTTAGGTCTCGTGCGCTTTTTGATTGGTGGAATCTCGATGTAAATGTCAACGCATGCCCGCGCTGATTCTGCGGGCGCTCTTGCAGAATTGCAAGGGCCAAGAATTGTTCCTACTTTTTTGGGGTGGAGCGCGGCAAGGCTTCATTGTGAAGATAGGGAAAACCTAATCATTGTTTACGTGGAACGGCATTTTCAGGACACTCAGTTGCTTGAGGAGACAAAGTCATGCTCCACCCTTTATGCCCTTACTTCAATTGACTCCTGTGCCAAAGCTACGTTTCGCTCGGTTTCGCTGCAGATGCTCAGAGAACCCCAAGTCGGCCCCGGAGTCGGAGTTGCTTTCAAACAAATGATCAAGACAAGCAGTGCGGCTCAGGCGGGCACCTGGGTGTCCCACATGGTGTTGCTCGCCCACATGGCGAGAGGTCATCCAACTCATCCAATCACCTTCGAAGGATTGGCCAGGTGTGAGGATGACTTCATGACTCGGGCTTCTGTGGGCGTGACGCACTGGCTTCAACGCGATCTTAGGGCCTTAGGATCAGCCGTGCCAAGTGACTCATGGCCAAGCCATTCATCTCGGTCGAAAAGCTGTGGCAGCCTATGGAATTCCGAGGGGTTATGCCAGAAGACATATGCCTCTCCGATGCCCCCCATCCCTTTTGTTTCTTGATCCTTGGTAGCCCGCCCGCACGAACAAAGGTGAGCACTGGGGCCAAGCAAAGAGGATGGCAAAAAGGACCCACTAGAATGACATTTTGACATACAGTATTTTGACTGCTCTCCTCAGCCATTTCTTCTCAAGCGTGATGGGGTCCGAAAACACAATCAGCGGACACTTAACAAGTACATCGACGGATCAATCCATCAGACTGTAATTGATGCGCCTCTTAGCCACCGAAGCCACTTCCAAACATGTCCATCTCGAAACGCGTCGCCTGATCTGAACAGTCGATCCCCATCGTCGAAGGGAGCCAAACAAAATCCACGCCCTTTCCCGGCGCGTCGTCGACTGGTGACGCGAAGACCAACCCGTCATGGAGGATGTTGTCCACCGTGAAGCGCAACCAGAAGCCCACCAGCAGGAGCCCCTTGAAAGGAAGGGGACTCTTCCCTTTTGGAACCCACTGTTTCCAACCTTCTAGGAAGTTGGACGACCTTTCGAGAGAAATCGAGAACATGGCAGCAGGGTCACACTTGGTGCACCACATAGTGCAACCATCGCGTGGTGATGTGTCCATATTTCTCGATATTTCTCGATCATTTGCCACTTGTGCAGGAGCCAACAAGATCTTCAAACACGGGCGCGGAAGGCTGGAGAGAAGCATGATGCGAGGCCTGCCAGAGCAGGAAGCCGCACTTTTGATCTGTTTGGCGATGGGTGCACCACTTGCAGGTGGGCTAAGTGTCACCAAAGGTAGTGGTGGTTTGAAGCTTCGAGTGATTTCGGGGATCCTTCTTACCACGCTACACTGATTCTGTATGTTTTTTGTGGCCCTTGCTACAGACCTGTATCAGAATCATATGCATTACTGTGGACTCTGTACACTAAGTTACCTGCATTAGACCTTGGCTGCTGTTTCAACCTGATGTACCTCTCAATGACCCCATGCAGACTGTAAGGCGAAAGGTCCGCAACGCCATTGTTTAAACCGTCTTTGACCTGGCAGAGAATGGGCAATGCCTTGCTTCTCACCAGATTGCGTGGCTTTGTTAGACACGGTTTGCATAATCTGTTAGACACGGTCCCCCTGTGACTTTTGACCTTGACCGTTTGTTAGAAGACGGTTGTGTGCGGGCCCACTTCCTTGTGACGGATGTGGGCCCGCACACACACCAAATTGAACGTTGCAAAGCCACATTTTGTGGTAACAGGTCACATTTGAGAGGGGGGCGATCGGATTGCCTTTGTCGTTTGCTTTGGGCAAGGTGTTCCGGGGTATAGATTCAGGACACAGCCAGTGATCTTGAATTTTTCACTGTTATCGATACTACCTCAAATTCACGACCTGCAAAGCCTGGGCTTTAGGTTTTCCAGTCCTCAAGCCTCTCCAACGCCGTCAGAGTGAAAAAACATAGATCTAATGTTCAGCCGTTGTCCTTCGCCAGGGGTTCTGCGCTGGCGCAGTGGTGGAAAAGCTTGCAGAATTTGCAACTTGGCGGTCGACTCTTCGCGGTGGACTTTTCGCACTCTAAAATCTCTAAAGGGATGATGATGCCGCCGGTCATTGGGGATGTGGAACGAACGAACCATAGATTTCAACGGTACTGTTGGATTTGTATGTCATGGTTTGTATATCTACACGATGAGGGGGCTCGGCTCGGGAGGCTCGGTCGAACCCGGTAAAGCAACCATTAAGAAATACTATGCCTGTGCGATTGGAGATGTTCATTTGGCTTCTGCTGTAGGTTCCTGATGCATCCGATTTTATCTCAGGGAGAGAGCCACCATTTCCATGCCAACATCCCCCTTTGACCACCTTGATCCCTGGATTCACTGAGCACACCGAAAGCTTCAGAAATTCCTTGTTGCTTTCACCACTGCTTGTTTGGCATTCAAGATGAGGTCCTGCAGGATTCACTTCGTTGGTCATTTTGCTGCCCCTGGCCCCCACTCCCAGACCACTCCAATCCCTCCAGTGGTCAGATTGACCCGCGTGCATGCTCGCGCTCGCGCGGTCACTGTGGCATGATGCTACGCTTCGTCCAGGCGTTCCCTCCCGTGGTTTACTCCTTCCGTGGTCCCAATCGACCTCTTCTTTTTCCGACGAATCTTTTCGAGGCCGAACTTGTGCCCGTTCGGAGACGGGTGTTTTTGCCATGGGAATGGCGGAGTTGCGGGGGTGGGGAACGTTTGTTTTTTGAGCTGGGCAGGGTTGTTCTGCAAATGTTCAGGCATCAAACACTGAAGGCACATTCTGAGATTGGTTGAAAGGGAAATAAGATTGGTTGGGAGGTTTCAGTGGGCTTAAAGAGTTTAAAGATGCCAATCAACAGAGGCCGACAATAAGTGTTTTTCTATTTATGCTTCACTTATTTTCCCATGGCTGGTGGCTGATCTACTTTCCATCCATGTGAAGAGGTGTGAATCTTACCATTGTCGTTTGGGTCGTTTGTGTTATCCTTTCTGCAATTAGGTTTTGGCCGCAACTCGGCAGTTTTGAGACTCGCTCGACTCGCCCTTTTTTTCTTCTACGCCAGGCTATATAGCCCCTGAGCAGATCATCGTCGTGGGCGGGTCAAAGCGTGGAGAGACCAACATATCCCAAACATTCCATGCATGGAATATTAATGAATACTTCCCTACTATGTTGACCCCTGTAGGTAAATATGACGTGCGTGGATGGTTTGGGTATTTGATACTGCTTTGGCTTGGCGCTTCAAATGCACCGATGGCCGCTGATGGCATGGCTTTCCTTTAGAAAACACCAACGAAACATCGTACATGGAAGGACGAGGCATCGTCACCGAGATGCGTGGGTGGCACAGGATTGATGTTGTTGTTTTGGTTCCCATCTCCGAGATGTATGGGACGTGTTGGAATAGAAGGACAAGTGTTTGGCAAAGGCGCGGAAGATGTATGCACCAGTCTCCGATGTTATGTTTTCTTCGAAGCCGAAGCCCTCAACGTTGCAGGTGATTACCTGTTGGAGGGGGGCCTAGTTGGGGCAGTCCAATTTTTTGGCTACAGCGAACATCAAGGCTTGATTTGCCAACATTATTCATGATTCCGTACGAAGACCCACGAAGTTTGTTCACGAAATGTGTGTGTGCGTGTGCGTGTGGGTGTGTGTGTGTTTTTTGGGGTGACTTGTGTCAAACCAGTGGTTTTAGATTGATTCAGTTAATACAGAAGTTAAATATCGTACCATTGCAAGGGCCGATACGGGTCGCCAGCAATGAGACTGTGAACACTACTGGGGGAATCGATTGAACACAGAAGACGGGTAGACCGACCATGCCCACCCGCACCCCATGAAAACACCTGGATGGTGCTGTTTTGCCTCAGCTGAACCTGTTATTCTACCAAAAGAAACTGGTTCACCAGTGGTGGGAAAACCCAAAAACAGCCCGCCAAAGACATCCAAAGGCATTCAAAAATCATGTGTGGTCAACTTTCTCCTAGGCATTTATTTCACGGTTTCCGTGAGACGAGGTCAACATGGCGATTCCCAAGGAGAAGTTCCCGTCAGCGTGTTTCAGCGCAGCGTGGTCCGATTGTTTCGGCTCATGAAGATGGACCGCCAGGCACACGCGTCCCTACTGTGGAGTTGGAAAAGGTCAGGTAGGGCAGCCTCCGCGGCCTAGCCTGAAGATGATAGAATATGATAGAATATAGACGTGGTTGCTACATGTGACAGCCAGTTCGGATTGATTCGATTCTATGCATGATGCATGTGTAGTAATTACATATACGTATTTCAGTTTGGTGTTTGACCCTCACGTTGGAATGAGCCGCCACATGATGTTGTTTTTTCTGGATTGGAGGCTTCATGCGGATTCAACCAGAAGCAGTTGGAACGTTGGACACCCTCCAGCCCCCAACCACATGGAATCTTGCGGAATCTACGGACACTCCGGAGAAAAAAGAAGAGGAACCCGGGTTGAATGGCACCCTGCCTGACAGTCCTGTTGTCTACAAACTAGCACGTGCTTGTGTTCCAGCGTCCCCCCATATAATTCCTCTCTTTTCCCTTTTGTTTTCGGGGTAAGAACAAAGTTAGACTACAGACTTGGGTAATTGGTGTTTAACTTGGGTAAGTTGGTAACAACAAAGTGTTTTTCCATGTTTTTCCGGGTGTCCATTTGCTCACAGACTTGGTCGTTCTCTCGGACTCCGACTGCCAGGCCGACGACTTCTCCGCAGACGAGTACGACGTGGACGGCTCCGGCGCCGTGGGCTGGTACGAGTTCGTGACGGTGTGGCGCAAGGCGGTGCCCAGGCGGCGATTTAGGTGGTGCAGTAGTGGATTTGGCAAGTCTAGTCTATTTGTATCTATCCGTGCTGTATCTTTTCTTTAGTCGATCTTGTTAGTCTACATTGTAGGAACTGCCTGGTTTGAAAGCTGCCTATTTTGTCCGGTTGACCCGGCCTGTTAGGTAAACGCCGCTCTTTTTTTACTAGGGTTTTCCAGTCATAGCTTCATTGCTTGATCCACTTGCTCAGAGTGAGGATGTCTCGGTGAAGTTGTCCTTGCCGGAGCGCTTCTTTGTGTCTTGGGCGGCAGTAGAACAGTGTCGTTGGGGGTGGCTCGAGCCCTCCTGTTGCTGTAGCTGGTCACCAGTGGTTCCTTTGACAAACTTCTTGATCTAGAAACCTAGATTGTAAAGGCATCCAGCAACCCACTCTAGACGGAGGCACTTTTGGGGCGTGCCGTCTACTTTGAAACCAGCTGTCAGGGCCCTACTTGTAGAGCATGATTAGAGGGGAACTCCATAGGCAATGATAGGCACCGGAGGGTACGAGGCTGGCCATCACCATCCAAAATTTGAACGGTCACGGTCAAGTAGATGATGTAAATTGGTGTTTGTATCATAGTCTGAGAAGTTGTGGAGTCTTTTTGTGGGAGGGAATGGCCTAGACTTGTCCCACCAAGTCTCTCCGAATGTTCCAGGTGCTCATGGAGGAACCGACCAGCTCCTTCGCCGGGGTGGTCGTCAGCCACTCGGAAAGACACGTCAGCACGCGAGATCACGCCTCAGTCGTCGTCAGGTGCGGAAAAACCATGAAAAACCGATGGGGTTCAAAAGAGGTGCGTTGGGGACTGAGAAGGGTTCCAAAACTTGGCTCAAATACGAGCGATGAAGGGGTCAAAGTCTTTTGAGATGAAGGGTTGAAAGACTTTGGGGGAGACAGATGCCCTGTTAATTGCAAAGTAAGGAAATTAAAGTGCCTGAAACCGGTTCAGACACATAGTGGTCGTTGAGCCAAATCAGAAGCTGGTTGACAGTTGAGTGGGACTAGTACCTGTCGTCTCCCTTTGTGCTAGCAAAGGACTGTCATAATAGGAGAACCTGGCTATACAAATTGCATCAAATTGCTATGGAAAGTTGGGGTTGATCTGGGGAAGCCTTTGTCCGACAAAAGCAGAAACACCACCCCGTTCTCCAACGTCCTTGTCAGTAGCCCAGCTCTTCACTTTCGTACATGAGGACGAAATAGGACGAATTGGACGATACAGTAACTTTCAGAATTTGTCAGAACAATATATATATATATGGAATCGAACTGAACAGCATCAAGAATCATCAAAGTTCAGAGGCAAAGTAGGCCCCTTAAGGATCGTTTTTGCATGCTGTTGCGCCCTCTACGTTGAAACTGGCCTCCGACGACCCGTGCCGAAGCGAGGCGCGGCGTTGAACGTCCTCATTTTTCTTTCTTGCGCACCTTGGCCACGTCCAGCCGTCAAGAAGACGTGTGTTTGAACCTTGACATGTGAGAAGCCAACAAACTGGACCAAATGCTCCTTTGTACTTGGCTTCTTCAAGGGATCTTAAGGGTGACTTTAGATCCCGGCACCACACTGATGCAATCTGGGATCAAGCTTCTATTGCTTGCCCAAGAACCAACTGCTGCATGCAGAATCAGGGCCCCGTATGAATCTGTACTGGGGATTCTGCCAATACTAGCACTTGTCTTAAGTCGTTTGGTCTTGTAGAAAGTCGTCTGGATGCTGCGTTTACAATGGGGTTAGATGCAAGATGGCAATATAACCGGAAGAGTGTCAGGTCAACAACATTGTTTGGATGCTGCGTTTACATGCGGGTTAGGTGCAGGCAAGCTGTCAATATGATTGGAAGATAAGCTTTGGAATATCAGTTCAAACACCATTGTTTGGATGCTTCGTTTCCATGCAGGTTAGAGGGAAGGTGGCCAAAAAGTGATTTGAAGATAATCGACGTGGGTAAGTGGATACCTCGCCTCGCACGGCACTCGTGCCAGTGTAGCCATGTTTTAACGTAAAACAGGTGACTTTTCGCAAGCCGGGTGACTTTTGACTAATGCTGCGTTTACATGCGGCCGGGTGACTTTCTGCAAACCCGGGTGACTAAACCCCAGCGGTGGTATCAGGTGGGTGCGACCAGTCTCAGCACCAGGTGGGATTTATGATTGGCACCCTGCCCGACATGAAGACGGCCCCCTGCGAACGGTGCGAACCGGAGCAGTTGAGGCGGGAGCAGTTGAGTCTGGAATTGGTCTTGTTGTTCTACCAAAAGGTGTCTTTGTAGGTGACACCTTTGGAGTCTCAAACGCCATGAAGCAATGAAGCGTCCATGAAAACATCGAAGTACACAACATCCAACAATTGCCAGGAACATAAACTAATACATAGAAGACGTCAGTGTAACACGTCATTATATATTTATATTTATTGTTCATGCAGACATGCTTTAAAACACATCAACAAACATCAAATATATATATATATATATACATTTGGACATATAGAATTGTATAATATTCTATGTATATACTACTTTAGTTAAACATATTATTGTAAGGTGTTTTGTTTTGACTTGTCACTTATTTACAGCCATTGTTTTGAACAATCCCTCATGACCGGATGAACCCTGTATGCATTTGACACCATTGTCGACTATTGTCGTCACACATGTTTGTTCATGCTTCTTCTACATAAAACGGCTGGTGTAACAAGCACGATCATGACACTGTGTCTATGTAAGATATCCAATTTGGAGCATCAATTGGATCTGCCTCCACTGGATCTTCCCATCCTCACAGGGAGCTGAAGGTCTTCGAGTCCATTTGTGTGGGAGTCTTTGCCCTCGAGCCGCTCGGTGGCGAGAAGGCGCTGAGCTAGCGCTCAGCTCAACTTCCCCTTCGATCCATGGGGCGCCGTGGGGGTTCACCCAGCAATGCCTGGGTGCAAATGGTGCTCGTACACAAATATATACTGTACAAAAATGTGTTTGTTCAACCATTTTGGGCATGTTTTGCAGGAGCCGGGCCTTGTATAGTGGTATATAGTAATGCAGTGGTACTTGGACCCCGTGGGATGGACATACACAAACGGGCCTTCTTCACAGGACTACTAGCGGACCATTTTTCAATATCCAAACAGCCAAAGGTGTATATAAACAGGACATGGGCGTCTCCCAATTCTCTCACACAAACATATTAGAATACATGTTCATTTGATGGGGACTCTCGCTCTTTTGAGACAGACAATGTTGCTCACCATCCGCTCCAATGGCTTGAGGTACATGGTGCGTGTGTGCACAGCTCCCTTCACACGATCCGAGCTTTTGCACTACGAGGAAGTTTTGGAGTTTGTCACCGATTACAAGGTCGGGAAGGAAGGTGCTCATTCCAAAGCGAGGGGGGCAAATCCAAATGACCAGTGTGAAGTGCAATTTTTTTGACCGTACGTGCTAGTACGTGCTACGTGCTACTACTTCCAGTGGCTTCCGGCGCAAGGGCCATCCAAGCAAACGTCCCGACCTGTTCCGCCGACTCCTCGGAGGAAAGCCGTTCCAGGGAGTTCGCACCGCTCCGGCAGACCGCATCATGTCATTTATATATATATATATATACTGTATACACCTGGACCTTGAAGGGGTGTCCTGGCTGGAGGTCCCTTAGTGGTGTGGGGGCTTTCATTGGTGACCCTTTTGAAGGTGCTGATATATATAATATTCTGTTTCAAACCCAAGATCAAGCGAAATGCTTGGCCCTTGGGCACTACCTTGGGCAGTTCTCCTGCTACGCATGACTCAGAAGTGGATCCAGGCAGCGTGCTGGCGGGAGCCGGTGGGTTTGTTGGACAAGTTCCTCCATAGCTGGAATGGTCTCTGTTGGAGTGGGCCTTTTTCAAGCCACACCATCAGCCTAAAATGGGGTGTCTCCGCCAAACGTGAGGTCAGAACCTTAGAAGATCTAGAAGGGAAGGATAGTTTTCTGGGTGTCAGATAGTTTATTGTTCAACCTTTACTTTGGATGATTGAACCCCACTGGCTACGACTTTATCCAGTGAGTTGGCACCACCAACCAGTCTTTCATTTCGTCTAAACCGCTTCCTCCATGTGCCTCACACATCTCGGCCTCAGATGAGCTTTAATCCTTCGCCGTGGTTACGCCTCACCTACTTCGTGATCCAGCCCATGAATCTCATTGATCTTTTCGCCACTTGGCCCGAACAACCCTTCCAAAGCGTAAATGGATCAATTTTGCATGCTGGGGGTGGAGAAAATGTTGGCGGGATCATGAGGGATCCCCACAATGAGCTACACAGACAATGAGCTATACAGACGCTTCGTGCCAAACTGTGTTGCTCAGGTTCCTAGCGCAGTTGTTTCTATGTCGACAAACTTTTATACAGTTGCTCCTCCAAATCCTGCGGCAATTCGGCACCAGCTCAGATATGATGGCGGATTATTCCACCAGCCATCTGCACTATGTGAGGTCCCAGGTGGTATTTTCCTTTAACAGTTGTGAAATGTTTGCACGCAGCTGTCCAGCTTGAGCTCCAGTTTCTGCATCAAGGTTTCCCAAACCTCTTGATTGAAGCAGCAAGTGGTGGATCCCACACATGCAGCCCTTCATGTTATTTTTTGGAGTGATGTGTAGACCCCACAACCCGGAGAGCTGGTGTACACCCCAGAGCTCCCAGCGGCCCTTAAAAGGCGTGCGATGCAATGGTAGGTGGATAGAACCCTTGACCTCAAAAATCTGAGCACATCAAGAGTACCAGAGATATCCAACCCACTTCTTGTTGCACCAAGGGTCGACCGCTCGCAAACGCGTCGCTACCCGTTAAAGGTTTTCACTTCACAGGTGCCCTTCACTGAGTGAAGCGCTGGAAGAGGTCATTAGATGATAGAAGAACAAAACCCACCAAGATGCATTAACCGAAAGGTCGAAGTTCCAAGCGCGTTTGATGATTGATCAACCTGAAGGAAGGCCATATACCCAGAGTTAGTGGGAAAGAGTTGGCCCAGCCAATCCATGTAGGGAATATGACTGACACGAACACTCTACCGACACTGCAGCCAATCAATGAATGCGTAAATGTTTGGCCACGTGAATGGCTGAGGTCCGACTGAGATGGCTCAAGGTGGCTCACCCTACTAAAAAGAGATTGCAGAGGCTGACCTAATTTGGGGAAGTCCTGGATACCACATTCTTTGGACGAAGTCCTGGATATCCGATCAGCAATGGTCGAAGCGATTGAATTTCAGTCATGTTGGCTCATGGCGTTTCTCAGGTCATTATACCTTTCATCGTGGAGACCGCCTTACAAAGCAGCTTGGGCTCATCCGGCGCCCAGAGGATGGACGTCAGGAGTCAAGTCTGCTGTGACGGTTGATCACGGTAAATCCACCAGGGCTGGAGCAAAGTCAGCAGAGCGCTTCTAGCTCACCCCAGGCTTGCACACCCAAATCAGTCCTTGAACCCAGAAGAAACCAGGGACTCGATACTGGGTTTTGCATGCCACGGAGTGACGTGAGCCTTTCGGAAAGGGCGTCTTGCAGTCTTTCAACGTTTTGAGCCACATTTGCAAACCGGAGGGCTGCTTGACCAGAAGAATGTTAGAGACCAGGCTCCCATGCAAACATAAAAGATCATCATCGTGCACATTCCTCTCATCCTTCGAAGGTGCCACCGCCAAAAAAACACATCCACAACGGTGGCGCCGACCGTCCCAAGGCGGTGGCTCCTCCAACTTCACCGTGCTCCGGGTCTTGCGCCTCACACGGCTTTTTCGACTGGTGAAGCTGGGGAAATCCTTCGAAGTCTTGCAGATCATTGGCCGGGTCTTCCACAAGTCCATCGTCGCCCGTTCCGCAGATCTCCGAACCGTCGAACCGAACCGTCGAACCGGCGAGGAGGATGGTGCGAGACCCGCGGCGCGAAATGGGGAGGAGACCGCGACCGAACGGACCAAATTGGTGGACCCGTTTTGGACGAAGACCGTGCATTGCAGCCGAAGAAAACCCGAAAATAAGTTTGCACTTGGAGGCACTTGGAGGCCTCAAGCTTTGTGATTGTTCTCATAAACTGAACCTGTCAGGTGTGGAACCTAGCTGTCTTTCCACGTGCATCTCAACTCGCTTTGCACCTCTTTTCACCGAGCTCTCAGAGTCGTCCTCGTGGCTCAGCAACCGAGTGGCTACCGAGCGCCCAGGCGATGTTTTGGGTCTTCGCGGTGAATTTCTCCCTGGCGATGTGCTTTTCCGCTGCCACGATTTACTTCGTGGAGGGTGGCGAATGGGATGAAGACGAGCTGAACTACATGCGCGTCGGCCACGAGCTGAGAAACAGTCGTTTCTGAAACTGACGTAACTCATGAACAGTCCCAGGGAGGTCGATGTTTGCATATGGGAAGAGTGATCGCACAGATTGGGGCAGTGAAGGTCAGAGGTGGATGGAGGTGGGTGATGCCAAACCTACTGGAGCAAACACTCCAGCTTAGTGGTGGTGTTCACGCAGTTTCACGCAGAACATTTGATTGTGCTCTAAGCGAAACACGTCCCCATACTGAAACCCCTGTCATAGAGGAAGTCCTCCTATTCCCAACATGTCCCAGCCACACCTGGGATGTTCTCTGCCTTGCTTCATAGATTCATAGATGTCAAGGATGTTCAGATATTAATTCCGGGTGGTTAGCAGTTAGCACGCTGCTGTGGTCTACCTTCAAGATAAGCCCTCAGAGCTTTCTAGAACCAGCAGAATCCAGTAGTGCTGCAAGTACTGCCAGCGAAAACGCATCCCTCCAAACAGCTGTGAGAAAGCTCCTGCCATCTCAGGATGCAGGATAATGGCCATAAGGATACCACCCAACCTTAGATAGCATTGGTAGAAAAGGGAATTATCGAAAGACCGATGGAAACACACCACATCAGTCTCAAAACATCTTTAAACTAGTGGTGCCCCTTTGGAAGCGGCATTTATTGCACACACACACACACACGCAATCGGACCTTGCTGAGGCCACGACGGGGTCCGATCACCATCACCGTTCCAGAGCATCCCGCATTCCTTTTGGTGGGTCATCGTCACCTTTACCACTGTAGGCCCGGGCACCTCAGACGTCTGAGCCAAAACGGTGAAGAAGAGGACTAAACTAAACGAAGCAGCTGCCCAAGGATAGTCTTGTTTAAGAGTTATGATTTTGTAAACTTCTGAGCTAGCATTCCAAGCCTAGGCTGGGCACGTGCGACAAATTCCAAGTAGCAAAGGAGTTGTTTTTTTCTTCTGACTGGAACAACTGCTCGAGCTTGATTCAATGGACGGATCAACTTTGGGCCTGCTGGACTCGCTCGGAAAACATCTCTCTGGCTGAGGCTACGGAGATGTTGTGCCTGAAACCGTGCTGGGAAAGATGATTGGCGCTAGTAGCATGATCGTGGCCAGGCATGGCAAATGGTCCGGTTCTGGAAGACTGACCTTACTATCATTAGTTTTTAATCGCAGGGCAAAGGAGGCGAATTCTGACGATGTGAATGAGCACCGGTATTCTGTGAGGGCAACTCTCTGGTTGTTGTACCTTGTGGCAAATACACTGAGATTTGCTAACCCGCTTGGACTTTATAGACACTTGCTAAGCAGCACTTCTAGCAGAGCCATTGCATCGTTCACCCAGAACCGTTCTCATCCGAAGCGCTAGGAATTCGTCATGAAGGAAAGGGGAAATCAAGTTGCTCTTCTAAACCCTTCGGCTGCCAGAGACACCTGGTCGGCCTTGGTTGGAATCCCTTTGACACACCAAGAATTGAACATGCCGAGATATGCCGGGACATGCTGAGGGGGTCGAAGTACCCTCAATCACGCATGCACCCTTGAACACTTCCCACACTATTGAAAGTGTCCATTACGAGTAAAAAGGGGCCTTTTTCCCTGTTTGTCTACTGGATGAATAACTATATGGCTACTACATTCCTTTACGAACAGGCTGGCTAAGGCGGTCTCCGGTCTCAAAGCGCACAAGTTAAGCGACCGCCTTGAAAGAGAAAGATTGAACTTCGCCAACCTGGCAGACTTCTTTTTCTCTTCTGAACTCGCTCCATCTGGAAATCTCTCGCTCAATCTCTCCCAGGTCGGCATCATGGTCCTGGCCTTGCCGATCTCAGTGATCTCGACCACCTTTGGGGATGTGTGGCACGAGTGGAAGGTACGCTGACACAACGGGTCGCCCACACGTGGCCCGGGAAGTTTGGAAAAGGAACAATCCAACAGGGCTGACTTCAGCAACAGGATTAACAGGCTTTGTTGGATGTATTGGGATTTCAACCGATTTCACCCGCTTCGTGGGCTCTTCCACCCCTCGCCCCTGACTCAGAGACAACGCACCGGTTCTATTCCTGTCGGTGTCGGAGACGCGACGCAGGAAGAGCTGCGATTGGACGCCCAGTCAAGAGAGGAAGATATGAAGAGCGTGGAGCTGGCACTTCAGGTCATTCAAAACCGCACCTTCATGCATGTCGAGACTTCCCTGCAGAGTTCTTGACTGTTCTTCCTTTGTGTTTCCTCCCTTTGGGTCCTTTCGGTGGGTTGCGAGTAGGTATCCCGATTGAGGGTTCTTCATGTTCATCTGTTTGCCCACCCCTTTGACACTTCGCATGCTTAACAGGTGTGGGTGGCTGCACGTGTTTGTTGCTGAACTTGTCGTGCCTAGGAAGTCTATGACCACTTCGAACGATACACGCCTGAGTTGCTGGGGTCATGTGAGTGGCGCTCCCTGCCCATCGATAAGCACGAGAAGGTGGAATCTCCGGACGAAGCACACTTCTTGTCTTCGATGCCCGGCACAAGGAGGGTGTGGTAGCTGCGGTGAAGACCTAGAAGGTTTAGTAACCTCGCCCTGGCTATAATATGCTATAATGGTTTTCTTGGATCCAACCACAGGTAGTTGGACCCTCCAATGCCACCTCAAACATCTCCAAGCACCCTTGGATAGGCTCCTGGTATGTGCGCTTTAGGGATTGATGGGAGGAAACATTAAAACCCTTCCAGCTGGTTCAGGATTCCACTAGACACCTTCATGCCAATATCAGATCCCAAACGCTGCCAAAAGCTCTATGTATGGCAATGTATGGCATATTTACATACATGAACACCTGAAATCACCTTGATGATCCCCCTTGCCACCGACAATCTAAAATGGATGTGGTCGACGACCACGTTTTCTCCCTTTTTATAGTTTTACAAACTGCTAATGTTGTTATACGATGAGTCTTATGTAAAATGGATGTCACCGACAAAGCCCTGGGCTGAGCCAAACTATAGCTTTGGCTATTCAGACATGTTTGTGCCAACCTTTATTTAGCTCAACCCATGTTATATTGCTTTTCCAACGGTCATTTCCGGATATTTCCGGCGCTGTCACTTTCTTGAAACCAGGACTTCTAGATCCATTTTGGTTTTAGATTACTTTGACGAGTATGGCCTTATTTAAACACATGTTTCAATTAAAATGCCAATAAATACCTTTGGTTTGTGAAAGTCATTTTAGATCATTTAAAGTGGGGTATAGGTATAAATATATATATTTTTTTTTTTTGCTTCGCAAGGGCGCCCTTCAAATCCCAATGCCTGCTGATTGCTCTCCTCGTGGTTCCGAAGAAAAGAAACCAACGCTTTCCAGTGTCCTTCGAACATCCCACAGTGACGAAGAAACACGTACCATATCCGTTTCATGCTGGTGGTTTGTTGATGTTCTTGAAACACGACGGGATAAATTTGATATAAAACCGTATATATATATATACGTATAACATATATATATAAATAGGTTTAGTACGCTTCGCAGTTCCAAACTGTCACCAACCCCCTGTGCCACTGTTGGGAGCGGTCTTCTCCGGTGGGACCGCAAATGCGCCGCACGAAAGCCCCCGAGGAACGAAGAGAAGCCGCTGGCGCCGTGGATTCAAAGGGGCAGGGCTAAGAGTCTAAGAGGAAGCTGCTTAATTCGTGGTGACCACATGCGAAGGCCCACAGCAGATCCTGGAATGATTCCAGAAGATCCTCATATCAAGACTGTAGGCCAACACTGACCGTTGAAGCTATATAACTTCTCAGTTTTGGGCCCAATGTAATGTTTTCAGGAGCGAACTGCCTTTACAACTTCTGGGGTCTTTGCTGAATGGTTTGCGACCACAAGGTGTTTTGGGACGTGACACTGGACATGACTGACTGAAGTGACCAGGTTTGAGGCTTTGGGCTCAAGCCAACCGAACCGTGACTCGAAACCTCTCCGGTTCACGGGCATCCCATGATGTTTCGGCCGTGGCTGCTCATAGCGGTGGCGGCCGCCACAGGTAGCCTGCCATGGAATCGCTGGCAGCTGGTTGATCGCTTTGAACAATGTGACGCAAAGGATGCAACAACTTGTTCAAACCTCTTTGACCTGGCGGAAGGCCTTCTATAATTGCTTGGACAAGCACGTGTACTGGTGGGCACCAACCACAAAGCTGGGAGCCAGTTGCTGCGCAATACGATGCACTGGGTGTTTGACATCTTGGGTGCGACGGACTCATGCCAGTATGGATTTGGTGTCGAGCCGATCACTTCAAAGCCTGGTTACAGGGAAGACTGCACCTTTCACGAGACGCCGATCCGTTTTCACAACTACATCAATGGCGAAGATATCCTCAGGTTACGAAAGGATGCCGCCTTCAAAGGTGGTTTGCGTGGTGTGATGATCATTCGTGATCCTTTTGAAATGGTGGCCTCAGCCTACTGCTATCACCACCGCGGGGCCGAGCTTGGCACGGGGTTGGCCCCCGCGAATATCACGGAAATTGGACCTGAAGAGGGAGTGCCTATCATGGCTGGGACCATGCTGCAGGTGGTGCGCAGGATGACCAGCGCCTATGCGGTCGCAAAGCCGGAGGTGCTCGCAGTGCGTTTCGAGAAGTTGACCAAGAGCTCTCAGGACTTTGATAATACGGTCAGAGAAATCTTGACGTTTTTGTTCAGGAATGAGATTACAGAGAAGCAGACGCTTCAGATTCTAAATGCAACTGCGGTGGAAGGCGTGAACAGAGGTTTGCAGGGTTTCTCTGAATTGCCAGGGGCCAACCAGGGATACAACCACACAAATGACGAGGAGGACATGGCTGTGGCAAGAAAAGCCCTGCACTTGATACCAGACAACATTTTGGCGGAGTACCAGCAGCATCGGAAATTTCTTGGCTACGGCTCGTAGCAGTTCACCCACCTACCAGCAGCATCAGAAAGTTCTTGGCTACAGCGCGTAGCAGTTCACCCAGCGTAAACGCTGCAGAGGTCAAAAGGCTTGCCATCCGTCGGTCCATCCGGGTTTGCAGTGGCGCGTGGAACACATCACGTCGGACGTGGTAAAAATAGCGACTTCCCCTCCATCCCCGCAAAAATAGGGACTTCCCCTTGGCTATGCCTGATGCGTGAAGACTGCAAACATGTTAAAGACTTGATTTGCCAGGTGGTCGTTGATGGTGGGGTGATCCTATAGTGTTCATTACATGTTGTTACATACACATATGATATAGCTATAGACTATATATATATATAT